TATATTATAAATATGTAATATATATGCATATATTTATTTTTTATTTAAGGTTTTTATTGTGGATTGAGTGAAAGTTTACAGGGCAGATCATAAGTTTCACATTCAACAAATCATATACCTTGTTTCATTACAATGATTATAATCCCCTCCATGTATCATCAATTAACAGTATTTCTCTCTACCCACTTTAGCTTTTTAAAAAACAAATAACCAACCAAACAAAAAAACTACTCAGGCATATATAATAATTTACATCTCCAAAGGGCACATTCTGCAAGTCTGCCTCCTGGCCACTAGCTCTTAGTCCTTCTCTTCTCATGAATCTAGAGTCCTTAGCCACTCTCCGTCTTCATGCCCCCATCTCTGCCTCCATCTCTGGCGCTGCTGCTGCTCTGGATAAGTTCCCGCATTCTGCTTGTGCGCTTCTCTCATGATGGTCGCAGGGTCCTCTGTTTCTGGACTGTAAGATTAACCACTCCCCTGTTTTTGTTACAAAACTTCTACCTTTACAATTGTGACAGTCACAATTAGTCATGATAACAATTATTCTCTATTGAAACTTACAAATCTTAGCCCCATCTCGTTTCACCAGACCCATCTAAACAAGATGACAGCTATTCAGTGGGGACTCTTTCTTCCCCTGATACTCTTAAACTAAACTCCCTCTTGAAAACTTGTAAGCCAGTCACTTTGTGCCTTTATTGCCCCCTCATTTTAGGTAGCAAATGTCTAAGTTGCCTGTCCTTATCTACACTGTATACAGAGGGGATAGTATTGCTACTTTATGTGAAGACTCTTTCCCTCTCTGTTGGTATTTAGAGTAACTACCGCTCTGGGTATAGGTCAGGTTCATCAAATTGAAGCAATTTACCCTTGTTAAGCTCTGTCGACAACAACATTGGAATAACAGGCCAAGAAGGCTCAGGTGCTGGAACTCTAAAACAAATATAAAGGTATGTTTGGAGGATTGAAGGGCTTACAGCTGGGAAATTTGTAGGAGAAGCCAGAAATCCATTGTTTTCTAGTTCAATACGCTCAGCTGTTCCAGGAGCCGCCAAATTGGGAGAGACCATCTTGATTGTATCAGGAGAAACATCTTGATTATATCTTGATTGTATCAAGATTGTATCAGGATTGATATAGAAATTTAAAGTGACAGTTTCGACATAAAACCAAATGGCCACCACTCGTCTGTCGTGCTGTGGTGGCTTGAGTTGCTGTGATTCTGAGGGCTGTGCCACTGGTATTTTAAGTAACCGGCAGGGTCACCCATAATGGACAGGTTTCAGATGAGCTTTCAGACAAAGACAGACTAGAAGAGTGATGAACTACCCGAATCGCTAGTCACTGAAAATCTTATGAACAGCAGAGAAACACTGTCAGATACAACAACTTTATCCCCCCTAAAATTTTAAAAACCATGTATATATTTTAATGTCTTAAGTTTTTAACTTTCTATTGCGAATTGGGTGAAGGTTTACAGAGAAAATCAGTTTTCCATTTAACAATTCATACATATTTAGTTTTAGGTCACTGATTGCAGTCTTACAATTTAACTGCAGTCTGCTTACTTCCTTAATTTTTTTCCTGTTTCCCATCCTCTTTTTGTCTAAGACTTCCTGTGTTCTGAACTTTTTCCTTGGGTCAGTGTTATCAATTTGTTGTTGTTGTCAGGTGCCATTGAGTCGGAACCAACTCATAGCGACTCCATGCACAGCAGAACGAAACAATGTCCAATCCTGGGCCAACCTCATTACTGCTGCCACACTTGAAGCCATCAGTGATGCCACCTGGCTGATCCAACTCGTTGGGGGTCTTCCTCTTTTTCTCTGACCCTCCATCTTACCCAGCATGACATCCTTCTCTAGTGAGTGTTCCCTCCTGACAATATGTCCAAAGTATGAGAGACGAAGCTTAGCTATCCTGGCCTCCAAGGAGCACTCTGGCTGCACTTCTTCCAGAACAGATCTATTGGTTCTTTTGGCAGTCCATGGCACTTTTAGTATTTTCTTCCAGCACCACACCTCAAAGGCATCAATTCTTCTACGATCTTCCTTATTCACTGTCCAGCTTTCGCATCCATATGAGGTTATTGAAAATACCATGGCTTGGGTCAGGTGCACCTTAGTCCTCAAGCTGACATCTCTGCTCTTCAATACTTAAAAAAGTTCCTGTGCAACAGAGTTGCCCAATGCAATACATCGTCTGATCTCTTGACTACTGCTTCCGCGAGTGTTGATAGTTGATCCAAGAAGAATGAAGTCCTTGACAACTTCAATCTTTTCTCCGTTGATAAGAATGTTGTTTATTGCTCCGGTGGTGAGGATTTTTGTTTTCCTGACATTGAGATGCAACCCATACCGAAGGCTGTACTCTTTGATCTTCATCAGTAAATGTTTCAAGTCCTCTTCACTTTCAGCAATTAGATGCCTTTTATTTACTTTTCTTGCTTTATTACTTTGGTTAAAACTGTCAATACAGTTTTGACTAAGAGTAGTAATAAAGGGCATCTTTGTAATAAAGTAATAAAGGGGAAACCAGACAAAGATTTTTGTCTCTCTTCCTTGAGACTAATGGTAGCTGTTAATTTTGTATGCATGCCCTTAATAATATTGTGAAATTTCCCTTTTATTTTTATTTGTTAAGTTTATTTTTATTTATTTTTTTACTTAAGAATGGGTTGATGTAGTTTGTCAAATTCTTTCTCTCCATTGATTGATATGATCAAGTGGTTCTTTTCCTTTGTTTTATTTATTACCTTGATGTATTTCATATGTTGAAGCATCTTGCTTGCCTGATATGAGTCCCACTTAGTCCTGATGTAATATTTTTTTGATATGTTGTTAGATTTTATTGACTAGGTGGGATTTTGTTGAGAAACTTTGTATCTGTGTTCTTGGAGGACATTGGTCTGTAATTTTCTTTTTAATGGTGTCTTTTCCTGGTTTTAGTATCAGGATTATACTCATTAAATAAAATGGATTTTGATATTTTTCTTCCTTTTCTATATTCTGGAGTAGTTTGACTAGAGTTGATGTCAGTTTTCTTCTCTGAATGTTTGGTAGAGTTCCCCAGTGAAGCCATCTTGTTTTTTTGTTAAGTGACATCAAGTTGATTACAACTCATAGCGACTCTGCACTGGGTTTTTAAGGAGTAGCTGGTGAGTTTGAACCACTGACCTTGTGGATTGCAAGTCAGTACTTATCCTACAGTGCCACACCAGAATTCTAAAGCCATCTAGGCCAAGAGTTTTTTTGTGTGTGTTTGGCATCTTCTATGACCTGTTCAATTTATTCATTTGGGATTGGCATATTCACATTTTTTACCTCAGACTTTTATAATTTACATGGGAGCATAGTGACGCCACAGGATAAACACTGAACTGCCAGCTACAAGGTTGGTGGGTTGAGCCAACCAGACTCTCTTTGGAAACTGTGTATAGGATTGCTGTGAGTTGGCACTTAACAACAACATGTTAGTTTACATAGTGCTTTTCTATGTAGATTGTAGGTTTCTAAAAATTTGCCCTCCTAGGTTTTCAAATTTGTTGTAAGTACTGTTCTTCGTAGTATTCTATTATTTTTTATTTCAGTTGGTTTTGCTGGGATACCACCATTTCAATTGTTATTTATGGTATTTGCATCTTCCCCACCTTCTGTTAAATTTGCCAGTCGATTATTGATTTTATTAATATAATACTTTAGTATTAATTTGTAATACTATTAATATAATCAACTTATAGCATTGTTTATTCTGTCACTTTGTTTCATTTGTATCTGCTGTATTCTTTATTGTTTATTTTCTTTTGGTGACTGTAGACTTATTTTGCTGCTCTTTTTCTAATTATTGAAGTTGTTGGAGATAAGGTTTAAAAATTTTTTTTTAATGTTTTATTGTGAGTTATGTGATAGTTTACATGGGAGAACATTAACTTTACATTTATCCTATCATCATATATCGTTTCACTGTCATAGTTAACAATCCCTTCCATGCATCATCAGTTAGCCAAAGCATATACCATGCAAGCCTGCCCCCCAGCCGTCAGCACACAGCCCCTCTCCCTCTCTGGGTCTAAAGTCCCCAGCCTCTCCAGGAGATAAGGTTTTGATTTGTGGCTCTTTGTTCATTTTTAATTTGTGTGTTTATTGCTATAACTTTAACCCTGAATTTTTTTGTTGTTGTTGTGTACTGAAGCTTTTAGTATATTTTGTTTTCATTCTCATTTGATTCAATTTTTTATTTCTTCTATTGCCTAGTAGTTTTTAATCAGGGTGTTTTTCTGTTTCCATGTATTTGATAATGTTTTTCTTGATGTTCCTGTTGTTGCTTTCTAATTTTATAGGCTTGCTTTGTGGCCTGATGTATGGTGTGCTCTGCAGAATGTTCCATATGTGCTGCAAAAGAGTGCATATTGTGTTTTTGTTGGGTGGTAGAGTGTCTGTGAGGTCAAGTTGTGTTGTTGAGTTCTTCTGTGTCTTTGTTTTTCTGTTAGTTCTGTCTTTCATTGAAAGTGGCATATTAATACCTCCTTTATTACACAGTTACCTATTTCTTTTGAAATTCTCTTAAAGTTTAATTTATGTATTTTGGGGCCCTTTCATTTGATGCATTTGTTGTTGTTAAGTGCTGTCGAGTTGATTCTGACCTGTAGTGACCCTGTATAGAGTTTCTGAGGAGTGGCTGGTAAGCTTGAACTGCCAACCTTGCAATTCAAACTGACTTTGTAGTCCAGCACGTTAACCCGCAGCACTACACCGGGACTTCATTTGATGCATAGATAATTGATTTCAATTGTTCAATTGAAACTTTTCATCATTATATAATGTTGTCTCTTGCATATATATAGCAGATTTTTTGCTTTAAAGTCTATCACAAATTAATATTGGCACTCATATGCTTTTTTGGTTGCCATTTACTTGGTTTTATTTTCTATTTTCTAAACTTTTTTGTCTACTTCTGTCTTTGTGTGTAAGATGTGTTTCTTGCTCTGTTTCCTTATCCATTCTGGCACTCGTATCTTTTTGTTGATGCAGTTAATTCCTTTATATTTGGAGTAATTATTAATAGTTATGCATTTATTTATGCTGTTTTGTGGTGTGATTTTGTTGTTGTATTACTAGTTTCTTTGTTTTATATAATTTTATGTTATGAGTTCATTTTTTAATGAATTTTCTTTTATTGCTATTATTTAACTTTTTATTGAGTCCTACACTCTGGTCTTCTCCCTTGATGGTCCCAGGGACCTCCAGTCCTAGACTGCAAAGTCAATCACTCCCCTCTTTTTGCTACAAAACGTCTACCTTTACTCAGATATACTTTCAATCTTCCTACCTTTAAAGAGAAAATTCTGGAGAAATAGAATTAAATAAGTGGACATGTTATTCATAGACTTTGATAGAGAAAGAATTTTCTGGTGTGGTGTTGTTAAGTGCCGTTGAGTCTGTTCCAACTCATAGCGACCTTGTATAGGGTTTCCAAGGCAGTATATCTTTGCAGGAGCAGAAAGCCTCATCTTTCTCATGCTGAGCGACCGGTGAGCTGGAACTACTGACCTCATGGTTGGCAGTCCACTACTTATCATACAGAGCCATCATGCTCCCCTGTGGTGTGTTACAGTTACTAATTATACTATTTTTAAACAAATATTTGATTTTTTGTTTTTACAGCCACGCAGCAGAATCACATCGGTGTTTTTCAAGGGACCAGGAAAAGTGGTGATGGTTGCCATTTGCATGTAAGTCTTGAAAAAATAAGAAATACATAATTTTAATATGTATATCCTTGAATGCATAGATTTGTTATTTAGCAGCTTGACAAAGAGCTAGAAGTTTTTATTGTTTCATGAGGAAGATGAGTAAGTCTTTATTGGTAATAAATTTGTGTACATAGAGTGTGAAAACATATACACACCCACATTTGTGCCATGTATATTTTTAATGTGTATAAGATCCCAGAGTAAATGGTACATGAAAATCCTTTCTTACTTTCATTGGTGTTGATTGTCGTTAAGTGCCGTTGAGTTGATTATGACTCATGGCGATTATCTATAGAATTTCCAAGGAGCGGCTGGGGAAAGTACCACAGGAGCAATTAAATAAAATTAATACAGCATTGGAAACAATTCAAAACCTGAGAAAAGATGTCCAGATGATCAATAATAAGATATCAGAAATGGACAATACACTGAATGGGGAAAGGAGCAGAATAGAAGAGATGGAAGCCAGAACTAGCAAGCTGGAAGACAAATCTCTCAATACTGCTAAGATAGAAGAGCAAGCTGAAAATAGGATAAAAAAATCTGAAGAGAGTGTAAGATTCATGTTGGAAAACATGAAGAGGAACAACTTAAGAATTATTGGCATTCCAGAATGAACAGGAAGAGTCAGAGAAGTCCACAGAGGAAATAGTGGAAGAGGTTCTGGAAGAAAATTTCCTTAACATTTTGACAGATGAGAAGATAAACATTCAAGAAGCCAAATGTACCCCAGGAAGGAGAGACTCCAAAAGAAAGTCACCAAGACATATAATAATCAAGCTCTCCAAAATCAAAGACAAAGATAGAATACTAAAAGTGGCCAGGGAGAAGAGAAGTATCACTTATAAAGGCAAACAAATAAGATTAAGCTCCGGCTATTCAAAACAAACCATGCAGGCAAGAAGGCAATGGGTAGACTTATACAAAGCCCTACAAGAAAAAAAACTATGAACCAAGAATCGTCTATCCAGCAAAACTATCAATCAAATATGATGGTGTGATCAAGACATTCCATGATAAACAGAATCTGAGAGATTTTATTAAAACTAACCCAGCACTTCAAAACATCCTAAAGGGAGTTCTATGGACTGAAAACCAACAAGAACAGACAACAAACAGAGATTGACAGGCATGGCAACACCACCTGGAACTCAGTCAACAGATAGCAGAGTCCAGAACAGAACAAGACTACAACAACAAACTCAAAAGGAGCGGGGAGGTCAACAAAGATCAAAATTATATACATGTTAAAGAAGGGACAGATGTAGCAACAGAGACCCAGGTGGTGAAGATGTCAGGTAAATTACAGGATACAATGGATTATTTTAAATGGAGAGAAGAGTCAGTAGACTATAAGGTAACCTCAAAGAAAGTTAATACTTCACAACTTATCATAAAAATGAATTTACAAGCAGAACAAACAAACACGAAAACTAAAAAGAAACTGACAAGAAATAGCACAAAAAACACAAACCCAACACAAGGAATGCAGAACAAAAGAATGAACAGCACCACCAAACAAGTAACATAATGGCAGCAATTATTTCATATCTATTGATAATTACATTGAATGCACCAGTGAAGAGACAAGAGAGTGGCAGAATGGATAAGAAAACAAGACCCTTCAATATGCTGCCTACAATAGACACACCTTACACACAAAGACAAAAACAGACTAAAAGTTAAGGGGTGGAAAAAAATTTACCAAGCTTACTGCAACAATAAACAAGCAGGAGTGGCAATACTAATCTCCAACAAAGTAAACTTTAATATAAAACCAGCATAAGAGACAAAGAAGGACACTATCTCATGATCAAAGGATCAATTGAGCAAGATGACATAACCATACGCTCCCAATGAAAGATCACCAAGATACATGAAGCAAACCTTACAGGAATTGAAGAAAGAAATAGATAAGTCTACAATTATAGTGGAAGATTTTAACCACACCACTCTCGAAAAGGGACAGAACAAGTGGAAAGAAACTCGACAAAGTTACAGAGGAACTAAACAACACAATCAACCAACTTGACCAATTTACATTCTTCTCCAGTACGCATGGGACATTTTCCAGAATTGAGCATGTGTTAGGTTATAAAGCAAGCCTCCATTGTACCATTTGGAAGGACATATTTGATGTTTTTTTTTTGACACTTTCTTCTTTCTGTTTTCTTGATTTCCATTGTTTTGTGAAAATTAAGTGACTTTTATATCATGGTAAATGATATGTGTTGTTGTTGTTAGGTGCCATCGAGTCAGCACCGACTCATAGTGACCCTTTGCACAACAGAACGAAACACTGCCCAGTCCTGGGCCAACTTCAATATTGTTGCCATGCTTGAGCCTACTGATGCTTCCACTTTGCCAATCCATGTTATTGGGGGTCTTCCTCTTTTTCACTGACCCTCCTCTTTACCAAACATGGTATCCTTCTCCAGTGACTGGTCCCTCCTGACGCTATGTCTGAAGTATGAGAGACGAGGTTTGGTCATCCTGGCCTCCAAGGAGCACTCTAGCTGTTCTTCTTCTAACACATGTTGTAAGTGGTTGACATGTATAGTGCCTGAGATAATCACAGTAGTCATTGCTGCTGGAATCTCAGCAGCCAACTTAGTTAAAGTAACTGTTTATTGTACCAGCCAGGGTCTTCTGTTGCAGTGCTGTTGGATAAGCACTTGACTGTAAGGTCAGTTTAAACTGCAAGGTTGGCAGTTCAAACTCACCAGAAGCTCCTTGGAAACCCTATACAGGATTGTTAGGAGTAAGAACTGACTTGACGGCACTTAACAACAAGGGCTTTCTAGCATGGCCCTAGGATGGTTTAGTTTAGTGTTGTCTTTGCCTCTTGCTTCTGCCTGCTTACGTGAACAGCATCTCTAAAGTCTTGCCTTTAACAATGGGCTTATTAGATGAAGAGCAGATCCTCACTCTCTATCTCAGACACAGAATTTTCATTTTTCTTTTATCTGGCTCCCAAGCATGTAACACCCTCTTTTCTCATGAGTTCTCAAAATTGCAATTAAGTAATTTGCTTAGACATAGAAGTCTTCATTTAAGTATTCAGTGATTATATACATATGATCTGTATCTTTAAAATTTTCACTCTTGTAACATAATGTGGTGTGGTGCTGCAAGATAATGCACTGGACCGTAAGGTCAGTTTGGGACCGCACAGTCGTCGTTTCAAATCCACCTCCTGCTCCTTGAAACCTTATACAGGGTTGCTGTGAGTTGGAACTGACTAACAGCACTTAACAACACAACAAACATTTGTAGCAATAAATTCTCTAAGCCTTAGAATTGTTTTTGAAGCTCTGTTAGCATAGTGTAATGGGTTACAAATTGTACTGCTGCAAGGACAGCAGTTTGAATCTACCAGTCTCTCCAAGCAGACAGATGAGGCTTTCTACTTCCTTAAAGATTTACAGCCTCGGAATCCCTGTACAGGGTCATCATGACACTGCAGTGACTCCACGGCATACAACCACCATAACCACCAACATGAATTCTTTTTAATTTACTCTGAACAAAATCTATTGTACATATAGTCAAATTAGTTTTGTTAGAAGTTTTTAAGAAAAGCTATGCTAAATTGCTTTCTCTTTCTCTCCTAGCAATGGATTAAACTGTTTCTTTAAATTTCTTGCCTGGATTTATACTGGTTCAGCAAGTATGTTTTCAGAAGCTATCCATTCATTATCTGATACGTGTAATCAGGTAAGACCTTGTAAAGGCTTCTTCTTTAGTTAATTTCAAAGTATTCCTTTTTCCTCCCCAGGTTTTAGCTTAAAAGTTGATGTGTTTAAAAAATGAATAATTCCTATAGTTGTATTATAGAAGAAAATGAAAAATGGTTTTATGTTTGAACAAATTTATAATTTATGCTGTAAGCACCTTTAACAGTGAAATGTGAAGTGTAGGATTATCAGGCACTGTGGATAGAGGCTTTTATAAAAGACGTTCTTATATGAGGTAAAATTTGACCAAGGTGTATAAGTTCTTTGAATAAACATAAAATGGTTACATAATTTGTCATACTGTGGTGGCTTGTGAGCAGCTGTGATTCTGGAAGCAATGCCACAGGTATTTTAAATACCAGCAGGGTCACCCATGGTGGACAGGTTTCAGATGAGCTTCCAGATGAAGACAGACTAGGAAGAAGAAGTGACGAACTACTTCCAAATATTTACTTACTGAAACCCTTATGAATAGCAGAGAAACACTGTCAGATGTAGTGCCAGAAAATGAGCCTTTCAGGTTGGAAGGCACGCAAAATGTGACTGGGGAAGAGCTGTCTCCTCAAAGTAGAGTTGCCCAGGATGATGCAAATGGAGTAAAGCCCGTACGTAGTACCTTCATTTGCTGATGGGGCACAACTCATAATGAAGAGAAACAGCTGTAAACATCCATTAATAATCAGAACATGGAATGTACAAAGTATGAATCTAGGAAAATTGGAAATAAAAATGAAACTGAATGCATTAACATCGAAATCTTAGGTATTAGTGAGCTGAAATGTACTGGTATTGGCCATTTTGAATCTGACAACCACATGGTTTATTATGCCGGGAATGACAGATTGAAGAGGAATGGTGTTGCATTCATTGTCAAAAAGAACATATCCAGATCAGTCATGAGGTACAGTGCTATCTGTGATAGGCTAATATCCATGCACCTACAGGGAAGCCCAGTTAATACCACTATTTTTCACATTTATGCACCAACCACTAATGAAAGGGAAAAAACAACCTGGCACCGCTCATCAACCAGACCTCACACCAAATGGCCCATCTAGAGACTTTTATTCAGGGTGAGGAAGGTAACCTCTGCTGGAGAGAGAAGGCAGAAGGCAGAAGGGAAGAGAGGAAGAAGAAGAGGAAGTCAATGGGAAGGGAGGGGACTTATATAGGTTCAACAGGAAGGGAGTGGTCATTGCTGGGGTGATTTAGCTCTGGCCTATCAAAAGCCATGTTGCCCTTTAAACTACACGCCTTGGAGCTTGTTGTTGTTGTTGTCAGGTGCCATGGAGT